AATTTATTCTTTCTCTTGGGCTATTTATTAATTAACTAATTGGTTTTAGGGGCCGTAACACGGGGTATTACAGTGGCTGCCTTTTCCTCCATTGATTAATAATAATAATAATAATAATAATAATAATAATAATAATAATAAGATGGAGTTGGGAGGAGGGATGCCTCCTTCATCCATAATTACAGTGGAGGCAGCCTTTCCTCCTCCTTTGATGAAGGAGAAAGTGGCTGCCTCCTGTAACTTGGCGGAGGTTCCTCCTTTATTTATTTTTTTTAATTTAATTTATTTTTTATTTTATTAATATATTAATTTTTTTAAATTTAAAATAAAATTATTTTATTTTTTAGGAACATGTAATTAAAAAAAATGCGAACGGAAACCTGTTGTTTACCTGTAAAGAATGCCGATTGCACATTTTTGGTAACATTAAATGGTTTAATTGCACACTATTTTTGTTCGGTGATGTAATTGCACGAATAGTAAAAGTTTGATGGCCTAATTAACACTTTTTTCAATAAAATTTAAAGAAAATCATTCTTATTATTAGAATTAATTTTTATTTTTAGCAACTCAACACATTATTTTTAGAGTTAATTCCCAAAATGGTCCTCTGACTATGACATTTTCTCAAATTAGTCCATTGATTTTTAATTTCCTCAAAGTGGTTCTCCAACTTTTGAATTTTAAGCCAAAATGGTCATCCGTTAGCTTTGAAGTTAAGTTGGTGTTAAAATGAAGGGTAAAACTGGAAATTTAAGTTTTGCGTTCCAATTTAAAGCAATCTGTGATTCCTTTCAGCAGCCTGCGCACATATTTCTTCAAATTAGGTTCTTGCTCTCCTAAATCTACAATCAAAATATGGGATAATCAACTAGAAGGCGAAAAAAGTTCATCTTTAACTTCATCCACAAACTTCGCAAGGTAAATATTTTTGACATTCAAGTTGATTATCCCACATTTTGATTGCAAAATTAGGAGAGCAAAGACCTAATTTGAAGAAATATGTGTGCATATTACGAAAAGAAATCATATATTACTTTAAATTGGAGTGCATAACCTAAATTTCTAGTTTTGCCCTTCATTTTAACATTAATTTAACGCCAAAGCTAACGAGTAACGGATGACCATTTTGACTTAAAATTCAAAAGTCGGAGGATCACTTTAGACAAATTAAAAATCAATGGACCAATTTAAGAAAAGGCCATACTAAATTGACACTTTTAAAAGTCAGGGACTGAAATTAACAAGACCTCTATAGTCATATGACCAAAATTGAAATTTCCTCTTTTTATTATCACTTTTAAGTTTTCAACTATCAATTTGACCAATTTAATATATCAAATTTAGTCATAATATCTTAACTACCATGGATATTTGATTAAAGTGATATTATTTGAGTCATATCAATTCAAATTGAATCTAGTTGATCAATTTGATAAAAGTCGATCTGTGAATTATATTAGAAGTTGTGAAATAGATGGTCTAGATCTAAAGTCGAAAATGTTACTATATTGTCGAGAAATAAAAAGTGGAAATACCTTGTACTCATATTATTGTTGTTGTTATTATTACAGAGTATTTTATTAAATGTTTTGTTTCAATTTTAATGTTATGCTAGGCATTGTGACATACATGCCGTCATTTTTGAAGGAACTCTCATATCTCAAACACAATCAGCATTCTCGCCGTCAACCTTCATAACTATTTTTTTGAGAATCAATTTTTGCATTTACCTATTATCTATTTTGAGCATATAATTTATTAAAATTTTTATCTTACAAAAAATCTGAATATACAGGTAGTGGACCCCAATATATTTGTATCACAAAATAGTCATTTAAAATATTATTTATGCTATTTTTTCCCACCGGAGCTATATTAAATTTTCGTTATCACTATTTAAACAAGATTACTTTGTTGGAAATAGCATTCAAAACCAAGTGAAGTTGCCTTCACTTCTTGTCCCACATTGCTATCATAAGAGTGCTTTTCCCACTATTTAATACCAAGCCTTTTACTCCTCTTAAAGTATTGTGGAAAGGAAGGAAAAGGAGAACCCACATGCGCGCGTCGCTGCCCGCCCGATTCGGTTCGCCGCTGCCAGCAATCATTCTCTATTTTATCTGAGCTTATAAGTCGGGTTCTGTGTGCAACCAGTCGAAAGCATAGTCTCCGGCAATTTGCTTTTAAGGTAGTGTTTTATACACGACACATATTCACCTTTCTTTCTCTTTTTTCAAGAATTCAGCCTACATAAACAGCAACCTCTTTGCGACATTTTCCGATCACTAATTCCAACAGTTAAAAGCAAATTGATTATTTCGTGAAAATGTCGACAATAGTGTCCAAACCCTACTCTGACCTTGCCAAACTCGAGCCCCTCACCGGTCTGAATTACTGTCAGTAGGCAATCAAGATGATGATTCACTTCGAGTCTGTCGAACTCGATTATATTCTTGTGCTCAACTACAAACCTGCCGAGCCCAAGTCTAATGAATCCGCCCAACCTGAGAGTCAAGTCATGATTCGGGATGACACCCTAGATCCAAAAGCACCTATCCAAAAATGACATCATCCGGCTCATCCAGCAAGGCCCAGGAGCTCCGTACCAAGTACGAAAGGGATAACAAGTCCGTTAGTGGTACTCTGCTACAACACATGTCTGACAGCGTATTAGATATATATACGCAAAATATAAGTCCACGAAGGAAATATGGGATTCGTTGAAAAACAAATACGGAGCAGATGCCGCAGGTTGAAGGAAGTATGCGGTCGGTCGTTGGCTCAATTTCAAGATGGTGGATTCAAAGAAAATCATAGAACAGGTACACGAGTACAAAAATCTAGTATCTGACCTAGAGGCTGAATGCATTCTGGTAATTATCATGCTGCAAACTTATGCCTTACTCGAAAAACTACCTGAGTCTTGGGAGGAATTCCAAAACAAGGTGAAGCATGAGTTCAAGGACTACACTTGGGAGCAAATGGTTAATCACATCAACATAGAGGAAGCATATCGCCTCAGGCAAAGGTCTGTTTCCTTTCCTGAAAATTTAAAAGCAAACATTGTAGAATCCAGTGGTGTGAAAGGTAATAGGTCAAAGGCTGGGACCGGAGGAAAAAACAAGAGCTGGAAGAAAAGATTCAAAGAGAACAAAGGGAACAAGTTCAAGAATCAGAAGCAAGGCAAAAGAGGAGCTTGTTTTATCTGTGGAAAGCTTGGCCACCGTGCAGCCTAGTGTTACAACCGGAAGGGGGCGAATGAATAGAGAGCCAATCAACAAGAAAACAAGGGCCAAGCGAATCTAGTTGAGGAGACTGATGAAACACCCCCGGTTTTACCATATTTTTAAAACTTAAATGCAAGATATAAGCAATCTAATCATCCATTAAACATTAAGCGGAAGCAAGTCTAAACGGGGGTATTATGCCGCATCTTAAAGTACTAAAGATGCACAGGCGGGAAAACTAAACAGTTTAAACAAGTCATAAAGAGTCAAGGCACACAGGCCGCTCAAAAGGCTCACAAGCCATCAAAATAAAACGCCTAGACAAGGTGACTAAGCTATCTAACGTTCAAAGTCTAGCGCTCTCGGACATCTACTCAAAACCTGTAGAACAAGAGAAAAAAAAAAAGGGAATAACACCCGGTCAGCGAACATTGCTGGTAACCCATCAATACGCGTTATATAACATATATAGATAAGTATAAGCAAAACCATTTTGAAACGGAATACAATATATATCATTTCAAAAGACACAGAGATAGATCAACTTCAAGGACTCATTAAACACTATCAAAAAGGAAAAGGAATCACCTTCCTTACAAGAATAACAAGACAAGAACATGAAAGACAATACGACTCAAGATACATTCCATTGATCACAAAGTAGAATACATCAAGACATGCTCATAAGCAAAGAATACACTTTCACACAATGGCAACTACATGCCACAGTGACAACTACATGTCACAGGTATCATAGTTCCAAGTTCCAACCTTATGGCTACCCCCGACCTTATTTCAGTTGCAACCGTTACCTCCTAGTGTCACCCTGTACTTCTGAGTCCAACCTTGTACCGCCAGGAACCGTCGTCCCCCCTCCAACATAGCCTCCAACATTCCGCCGAACTCTCAGTACACGAGGTTAGCATTAATTTCATTCACATAGCCTCCAACATATGAGCCAAGCTCAATCAACACACCACCAATTTCAATCATAGTCACATAAGATCATCATCATTACCAAGAGGATTAAGGTTCCACAATAACCTTAATCGAGTATCGACAAAAAGGGTACAACGAATTACATACGTTCACATCATAGGAATCAATCAAGGGATCACAATAAAGACATGAGACTATACTCATCAAAAAAGGATTCCAATCCAACACCAAATGATTGTCAACACAAGTTGCCAATCCCGATACGAAGGAACAAACCACACATACTAGCATTTCAACATCAAACTAGCATGCTTATCAAACAGGTAAACCAAAAGTAGTTCCATAGAACATTCAAGACTCACAATTAGCCCAACGAATCACAAAGTCAGACCCTTAGCACGATTCAAGACACCAAATCCTACATGGATTCCTAACGTACCGTTCTAGACATACGAAACATCAAGAAGACTCACAAATAACCCAATAAAACAATATCGGGAGGTCTAAACATCAATACCGAGTCAAAAGAATCACGGGGAACAAATCCCCACCTTCGTCCAACAGTGTTCCCCGCGGGTGGGGCCACGGGTGGATAATCACCCGCGGGTACCACCCACGAGACACCATGTACCCGGGTGGTGCAGCGTGTAGACCCCTGCCCGCCATTCCGCCCGCGGGTACACTCTTGTACACCAACTCATCCCTTCGGGGATTTTCAACAACAAGTCCAAATTCAAGTCCAAAACACCCAAAATCTCACACAAAATAACAATATGACTAGAAACAAAGAAATAGCCAAGAAATGACATTCAAGAATCCTAAGAACAAGCTCTAAACATTCATCACAACAAGATAATGCATCAAATCTCGTAAATCAACACAAGAATCACAAGCAGAAGCTAAGAAATCATCATATAAGTAAGAAAATAGGTTTTATAAATCATGGGTTACCTTTTTAGCCAAATAACGTCTTCTTTTCACCCTTAGAAAGTCTTTCCTAAAGCTCCTCTTCAACACCAACTTCATACACAAACCAAAAGACAACAAAGATTCTATCTTTAGAAATAGACACCTAAAAGGTGGTTAAAAACACCAAAAGACCAAGGATCTTACCCGCCCCTATGCTCAGGATAAAGAAAGTAGGAATCTTGGAAGACAACTTGCAAGATTTGGGATGCCCAAATCCTAGCTTGGAGAAGAAGCTACACCTTTTTAGAGAGAAGCTAGAGATTTTTGTGTTTAGATTGTAGGGTGAATGAAATGAGAGTGTATGTCTAGGTTAACTTGAATCACAAACATTAGGTAAAAAGACATTCCTACCCTTACTAAGGTTGGAAAGATAAGAGAACAAGGGCACAACTCAAGAAGCACAAGGTAAAACCCTTTGACTTATGTGGCTAGTAAAAATCTAGTCCCTCGACTATTGAATTTCAGGATTTTTAGGAATAAATTAACAAAGAGACTAGGATTAATTCTCTAATTAATCCTTGATTAGAGTTTGGATTTACGGGGTGTCACATCCTCTCCCCCTAACAAGAAGCTTCGTCCCCGAAGCTTGGGCACGACGAGCTCAAACAAACACGTGGCAACGAATCAACCATGTGACAAAAGGAAAACAAGAATACCATTTAACCAAAACTTCAAGGATCCAAAAGGGGTAAGGTTTGCAAAAGTCAAAAAATTGCAAGGTTTCAAAAGGGTCACAAAAGAAATTTTCTTGAGCACACAAACCCCTAAAGCCAAGACAACGACAACTACACTACCCCTAGTCCCACAACCATACAACAAGAAAGGTAACACAAGGTACCTGAGGTTAACAACTCCGGGTAACGCTCTCTCATAGTCGACTCCAACTCCCAGGTTGCTTCTTCTACTCCATGATGCGACCACCACACTTTTACCATCTTCACTGACTTCATGCGAGTCTCTTTGGTTTTGAAATCCAAAATCCGAAGCGGTCTTTCTTCGTAAGACATAGTGCCATCAAGTGGAACCACCTCCGGCAGAATTACATGCGTCGGATCATGCAAATACTTCTTTAGCTGGGACACATGAAAGATATTGTGCACTCGTTCCAACTCCATTGGCTGCGCTAGACGATACGCCAAACTCCCTATCTTTTCAAGAATCTCGTAAGGCCCAATGAACCGAGGACTTAACTTGCCTTTCTTCCCGAACCTCATAACTCCCCAGGTGGGAGAAACCTTCAACCACACTTTGTCCCAACTGCGAACTCTACATGCTTCCTTCCTAAATCAGCATAGGACTTTCGCCGATCCTGTGCTATTTTCATTTTCTCTTGTATATACTTGATTTTCTCAACAGTATCATCTAGATATTGTGGTCCCAACATTACCGGGTTGACCAAATTCTCCCAACATAACGGACTTTGGCATTTCTGGTCATAGAGCGCTTCGTAAGGTGCCATTTTTATGCTTGCATGGTAGCTGCTATTGTAGGAGAATTCAATCAGGTCCAAGTGCTCCTCCCACGAGCCTTGGAAGTCCAACATGCACGCCCTTATCATATCTTCAATCGTCTGTATGGTTCTCTCGGTTTGCCCGTCCGTGGCTGGGTGAAAAGCAGTGCTCAGGTTCAACTTCGTACCCAAAGCAGCTTGCAAAGACTTCCAGAATTGAGATAGAAACCTAGAATCTCGGTCGGAGACAATATCCCTGGGTACTCCATGGTATTTCACTACTTGACTTACGTACGCTCGGGCCAACTGTGTCATTGTCCACGTTTCCTTCATGGCGATGAGCCGAGCTGTCTTAGTTAAACGATCCACAATCACCCAAATCTTGTCCTTGCCTGAACGGGCCACGGGTAACCCACCAATGAAATCCATAGAAATGGAGTCCCACTTTCCTTAGGGTACTTCTAACGGTTGCACCAAACCCTTGGACCTACATCACTCAGCTTTGACCTTTTGGCAATTCAAACACCGGCTCACGAATTCAGCGATCTCTTTCTTCATGTTGGGCCACCAATAGAGCTTCTTCACGTCCTTGTATAGCTTGTCACCCCCAGGGTGTACCGAATAAGGTGTGTTGTGACCCTCCTCAAGAATTTGGCGCTTCAAACGGTCACACGATGCGGGTATGCATAAACGACCTTTGTACCTCAAACCTCTGTCGGTAGATAATTCAAAATATCATTTATTTCCCTTATCCAGTTCACTCTTTATTTTCATCAAGCCGGTGTCTTTCAACTGTTCTCCCTTAATCTCATCCAAGTGGGTAGGCACGATTCTCAGGTTGAATAAACGGATTTCTGCCTCTACTTCGCCGTGCTCCACTACCTCCAAGTTCATTCTTTGAAGCTCCTAACCAAGCTCGTCAGCCACCACCCAAATCGAACTGATAGCGTGCTTGGATTTCCCACTTAGAGCATCGGCTACCACGTTTGCTTTCCCTTCGTGGTACTGAATATCCAATTCATAGTCCTTGATGAGTTCAAGTCAACGTCTTTGACGCATGTTAAGGCCCTTTTGCGTGAAAATGTACTTGAGGCTCTTGTGGTCCATAAAGATTTTACAACGCCCTCCGTTGAAATAATGCATCCAGATTTTTAAGGCAAAAAGCACTACTGCTTTCGTGTGTGGGATAGTTCTCTTCATGCACCTTAAGCTGCCTAGAAGCATAAGCAATCACTCTCCCATGTTGCATCAGAACGCATCCCAATCCATTCTTAGACGCGTCACTGTACACCTCAAACCCTTCTATTCCCGACGGTAAAGTTAACACGGGCACCGTGGTCAACCTGCCCTTTAATTCCTGAAATGCTGAATCGCACTCTTGGTTCCACTGAAAAGGAATATCCTTCTTTAACAACTTAGTTAGGGGTTAAGCCACCTTGGCAAAATCCAACACGAACCTACGATAATAACCTGCTAAACCAAGAAAACTTTCTCACTTCTCCAACTGTCGTCGGTACTGCCCAATCCTTAACCGCTCGGATCTTATCCGGATCCACCGAGATTCCATTACTATTGATCACGTGCCCCCAAGAATGTTACACTGTCCTTCCAAAACTCGCATTTTGACAGCTTGGCATAAAGTTGTTTTTCTCTCAGAGTTTGTAACACAATACTCAGATGCCGCTCATGATCCTCCTTGTTCCGGGAATAGACGTGAATATCATCGATGAACACAATCACAAAATCGTCTAGATGCGGCTTGAATACTCAGTTCATCAAATCCATGAATACCGCAGGTGCATTGGTCAAACTGAACGGCATCACCGTGAACTCATAATGCCCATAGCGAGTCCTGAAAGCGGTCTTAGGTATATCTTTATCAGCCACCTTCAGCTGATGATAGCCCAATCTCAGATCAATCTTAGAAAATACGCCTGCACCTCTGAGTTGGTCAAACAGGTCATCGATCCTCAGGAGCGGGTTCTTATTTTTTAAGGTTACTTGGTTGAGCTCGCGATAATCTATACACAACCTCATGCTCCCATCCTTCTTCTTAACGAAGAGCACTGGCGCTCCCCACGGTGACGTACTTGGTCGAATATAACCCTTGTCCAGCAAATCCTGCAACTGAACTTTCAACCCTCTTGCATCTCTTTGGACGCTAAACGGTAAGGGGCTTTCGATATAGGTGCTGTTCCAGGCACAAGGTCCACTGAGAACTCCACCTCCCTAGGAGGGGGCATACCTGGAATTTCCTCGGGAAAGACGTCAAGGAACTCACACACCACTGGTATAGAATGAGATGTGTCTCCTTTTGCCTTCAAGTTCTCGACGGAACACAGAAAAACTTCGTGACCCTTCTCGACATACTTTTTCATTCTTAACATCGATACCAATTTGATTCCAGGCTCCACCGCTGTTCCTCGGTATGACACTCTCTTTCCACTTGGTCCTCTTAGCACGACGTTCTGTTCACCGCAAAGAATCTGAGCTTTGAACTGACCCAGCCAATCCATACCTAAGACTACGTCCACTCCATCCAAGCCAAACTAGATCAGGTTGCTAGGAAATTCTTCCCCACTGATGACGATCTTGATGTTCTCAAAGAGGCAATTACACGGCTTGATTTCCCAAGAAGCCACCTTTACGCTTAACTTAACCTCCACGCTGTCGGTCAAACCCAGCTTCTCAACGAGCTCTGGCGACACGAACGAATTAGATGCACAGGAATCGAACAGGATCAGGGCCGGAATCGATTGTACCAAAAAGGTCCCGATGACAACATCGCTGTCTCCTGCCTGAGCTTTACTCAAGGCGAGGATCCTTGCTTGGGGTGATTCCTTCTCCGAATTCTGAACTTCTATGCTCCAAACTAGTCAACGTCCCCGAGGTGACGGCGCTGTAGCTTGGCTGGGACTAACCTGAGTGGACACACCACTCCTGATCCATCGCTCGACGACGATGGGGGTGTTGTGCAACCTCGCCACTCTAGGCCTCTTAACCACATCGCGGGCATCGTCCATCGCCCGAGCATGGTGACGAGGCGGAGCCATGACGAAACTTCTACAGAAACAACAAGGTTACGGAAGGCACAAACAAACAACGCACCCTTACCCGGCGCTAACGGCAAGGACGCTAAAGCTCAACAGAAACAACAAAGCAACATAACAAACGACAAACAACACACAGCTCACCACGCGTCCTAAAAGTCTTAAGTCCTAAACACTAAGATACTTAAGGGTCATCTTATGGTCTCAAACCACACTTAACTTCTTAAAGTTCAAATCCTAACATCCTAGGCTCAAACCAAGGCTCTGATACCAACTATAACACCCTCGATTTTACCATATTTTTAAAACTTAAATGCAAGAGATAAGCAATCTAATCATCCATTAAACATTAAGAGGAAGCAAGTCTAAGAAGGGGTATTATGCCACATCTTAAAGTACTAAAGATGCACAGGCGGGAAAACTAAACAGTTTAAACAAGTCATAAAGAGTCAAGGCACACAGGCCGCTCAAAAGGCTCACAGGCCATCAAAACACAATGTCTAGACAAGGTGACAAAGCTATCTAACGTTCCAAGTCTAGCGCTCTCGGACATCTACTCAAAACCTGTAGAATAAGGGAAAAAAAAACATGGGAATAACACCCAGTCAGCGAACATTGCTGGTAACCCATCAATACGCGTTAAATAACATATATAGATAAGTATAAGCAAAACCATTTTGAAACGGAATACAGTATATATCATTTCAAAACCCATAGAGAGAGATCAACTTCAAGGACTCATTAAACACTCTAAAAAAGGAAAAGGAATCACCATCCTTGCAACAATAACAAGACAAGAACATGAAAGACAATACGACTCAAGTTGCATTCTACTGATCACAAAGTAGAATACATCAAGACATGCTCATAAGCAAAGAATACACTTTCACACAACGGCAACTACATGCCACAATGACAACTACATGTCACAGGTATCATAGTTCCAAGTTCCGACCTTATGCCCTGTTCCACCCTTATGGCTACCCCTGACCTTATTTCAGTTGCAACCGTTACCTCCTAGTGCCACCATGTACTTCTGAGTCCAACCTTGTAACGCCAGGGACCGTCGTCCCCCCTCCAACATAGCCTCCAACATACCGCCGAACTCTTAGTACACGAGGGTACCATTAATTTCATTCACATAGCCTCCAACATATGAGCCAAGCTCAGTCAACACACCACCAATTTCAATCATAGTCACATACGATCATCATCATTACCAAGACGATTAAGGTTCCACAATAACCTTAATCAAGTATTAACAAAAAAGGTACAATGAATTACATACGTTCACATCATAGGAATCAATCAAGGGATCACAATAAAGACATGAGACTATACTCATCAACAAAGGATTCCAATCCAACACCAAATGATTGTCAACACAAGTTGCCAATCCCAATACGAAGGAACAAACCACACATACTAGCATTTCAACATCAAACTAGCATGCTTATCAAACAGGTAAACCAAAAGTAGTTCCATAGAACATTCAAGACTCACAATTAGCCCAACGAATCACAAAGTCGGACCCTTAGCACGATTCAAGACGCCAAATCCTACATGGATTCCTAACGTACCGTTCTAGACATACGAAACATCAAGAAGACTCACAAATAACCCAATAAAACAACATCGGGAGGTCAAAACATCAATACCGAGTCAAAAAAATCACGGGGAACAAATCCCCGCCATCGTCCAACAGTGTTCCCCG